AAAACCTTTGTATAGGCACAAATTAAAACATAGAAAAAAAACCCCCACAACAGCAAAGCAAGCTTGTAATAATTTAAGAAATAAATTAAAGGGTACAAAAGAGATCACATACAGCTGAATTGTTCGTGTTGCAGTGCTACACATAGCTTAGCACCTTTATATCGATGTAATCAACCTTGATAAATAATCTCAAATGAAAAAAAAAACTTATTCATACACCGATTTTTGCAATCTACCACACTCCATCAATGATCCATTTCCAAACAATATTGTCTTCTTCAGTAAAAGAGTTGCCTCTGGGATGATATATGGCGTTTATCAGCATTAAACCAAATTTGTGTGAAGCTCTTCGGTGTGTAAATAAAATTGTTTCATGACTCTCTCTTTATTAAGTACACTGATAGCTGGGCAAACGGTTGTGTCCAAGTATTTATAAAAATAAGAAAAATTGTAGCGATAGATTGCGATACGAAATCCTGAAAAAACATCTTTAGAAGCACCATGAAAACAACATTTATCTAAAAAGGAGAAAACAATATAAAAATCTAGAAAATTTCCTAAACATTCTAACCGATGTCCAAATATGTTTTTACATATTTTCATGGAAAATTACGATATGCAACCAACATGAATGCAACATACAGTAATGTCAAATGCATTAATGCCATGCATTTGTGCTAGTTGCGTCTTAAATATAATATTTTGGACATTTTATGGAATATATTCTGGATATTTTTTGTTTTTTTTAAGTTGTAAGTCTAAATTTTAGAAGCTTTGAAATATATTTTCACAAGCTTTAAATATTTTATAGATTTATCGTGTCCTTATATATCTCTAGGACCTTTTTTTGGGGATTTATGAGGTATTTTATGTTGTTTATTAATAATCTTATCAAGTATGTACTAGATTTTTTTAAGTAAAAAAAGATAAACCAAGTTTATAAACACTTCAAAACAGGACATAGAAGTAATTTGATCGGTATTGAGATTTCAAATGACAAGATTTACGATACTACGGTTTTAGAGTTCAAAATTCAAGGAGGAAAATGACAATAATTTAGGGAGCTAAATAAACCTTTTCTTTTCCTTTTTGAACTCAGCAAAGCAAATGGGCCCTTATCCAATCCGACCCAAAGATGTTCGAGGGGAAAGGCCCAACGATATATTGTCATGAGGCCTCTTTGGTTCACAGCGAAACCCACGACTCTTCCGTTCCCCTCTTCCTCCTCTCTTTTTTTCGCCCTTGCGATGACGACGACGAGGAGGAGGAGGGCGGTCTTGCCTTCGTTAAACTTGGCGGGCCAGGCCCTCCATCGCCTCATTTATGTGAAAGCTCTTCGGTTTGTACATAAAGTTGTTTCATGACTCTCTCTTTATTAAGTACCCTGATAGCTGGGCAAACGGTTGTGTCCAAGTCTTTATAAAAATAAGAAAAATTGTAGCGATAGATTGGGATACGAAATCCAATTAAATTATTTGGAGCTTCTGAAAAAACACCTTTAGAAGCACCAGGAAAACTACATTTATCTAAAAAGGAGAAAACAATATAAAAAACTAGAAAATTCCCTAAACATTCTAAACGATGTCCAAATATGTTTTTAAAGATTATCATGGAAAAATTACGATATGCAACCAACATGAATGCAACATGCATTAATGTCAAATGCATTAATGCCATGCATTCGTGCTAGTTGCATCTTAAGTATAATATTTAGGACATTTTATTGAGTATTATGGATATTCTCTGATTTTTTCTAGAGTTGTAAGTCTAAATTTTAGAAGCTTCTAAATATATTTTCACAAGCTTTAAATATTTTTTAGATTTATCGTATCCTTATATATCTCTAGGACTTTTTTGGGGAATTTATAGAAGCAATAGAGGTATTTAATGTTGTTTATTAATAATCTTATCAAGTATGTACTAGATTTTTTAAGTAAAGAAAAAGATAAAACCACCTTTAAACACTTAAAAATAGGATAGAGAAGTAATTCGATTGGTATTGAGATTTGAGAGGGCAAGATGTCTGATACTCTGATTTTAGAGTTCAAAATTCGAGGAAAATGACTATAATTTAGGGAGCTAAATGGACCTTTTCTTTTCCTTTTCGGAACTCAGGCAAAGCAAACGGGCCCTTCTCCAATCCGACCCAACATGTTCGAGGGGAAAGGCCCAACGATGATATATTGTCATGAGGCCTCTTATTTGGTTCCCGAAACCCACGACTCTTCCGTTCCCCTCTTCTCCTCTTTTTTTTTTTCCCCCCGTGATGACGACGACGACGAGGAGGAGGCGGCGCGGCGCTCGTTCGGCCTCGGCGGGGCAGCGCCTCCGCCGCCTCATCTCCTTCCTCAGCCGGCACCGCCTGTACCGCACCGCCCACACGTACGTACGCCGCCGCATTCACCTCTTCAGTTTCTCTGCTCCCCCCACCTCTTTCTGACGGACCAGTTGTTGATGCAATTTGTTGAACACCATATCGCAATCGGGCAATCGCAGCGTGGAGCGGAAGACGTGCGTCTTCTTCGACGCGGCGCACCTCCGGCGGATGATGCTCCGCGACCGCTGGGCCGCCGCCTCGTCCTACGCCCTCAGCTTCGTCAATTACCGAGACTGCAGCCGCGAGGCCGACGAGCTCAACCACCGCATCCTGGTTCTCCGCGTCCTCACCGCCTTTGCAGCTGGCCAGGCCCGCTTCGTCGAGACTCTCTTCCGGCGCATGTACGCTTACCTCCGGTTCAAACCAGACCGGGACCGCATCGCAATACGGAGGCTCCTGCTCGCCATGCGCTCCGACGACACCAAGTGCGCGCCTGTACTGCATTGATTGGCTTCCGAGCACTGCAAATATGCATCAGTTGCTAAAATTGTGTGTGCGTGAGTGTGTCCACTAACCCTGGCCGTGGCGTTGGTTTCTCTTGCAGGTCCTCCAGGCTATATGGGCGCTTCAAGCCCAGGGCAGTGCAGGGCATTATGGACTTGGCTGCCAAGTGCCCAGAGCTCAAAGCCAAGACACGGTTACCCCGCTATATGTCTCTTGGTCATCCTGAGTATGCATCACACATTCTCATATAGTCTTGATATACATATATGTTTCCAAGTCAGCTCGGCCAAGTTCGATCTCATCCAATGCCCACACAAGTAGCTCAATCTAGTCGTCCAATTGAGTCAGAAATATGTATCTTGTTATTACAGGTCATGGCGGAATACTCCTAAGAATCATCAAAAACATAATACCAATCTTCCGGCACGGACCCTTGCCCGTTCCTTTCTGCCAAAAAGGTATTCTACCTAGTTTGCTTTCTTTGCTTGTTTTCCCTACTTCCACTCACACGCTTCTTGCTTGTTCAGGCCTCCTCAGATTAGTCACAAGAAGATTAATCACAAGACGAATTGTTCAGGTATGGTGTGCCGTGTGCCCAGTGCATGTGCGGTGTAGGTTTTACATACATTTGGCCTGCAGTGGCAATAACTCTCCTGTGAACATCATGATTCTTGTGCCTTGGTATAATTGTCGTATATTTGATTATGACATGAGTTTTACACCTCTAACAATCATGTGCATCAGTTTCATATTATTTTGGAAATGAAGATACTAGCTTTCTATTTTCTTACCTTAATCAATAAGTCAAGCAATTGATTGCACTTTGTTTTTTGTTTTCTTTACCATCTATCTTGTATGATGAACTTGGCTTCATAGTGCCGTGGATCATGTGTGCCGAGGTGAAATTTAGGTGATGCAAAACTTAGATGCTCAATATGTTGCAAAAAATAACTTGATGCAACACATTCAATGATTCTTGTTTGATTCCTCATGATACTTTAGCATAGATCTCATATTATTTCTATCCTTCTTTACTTGCCTTTCACTGGTATTGCTTTCTTTAAGTTTATTAAACATTGGTTGTCCTCATGAGTCATGACCTCACCTCATGTCTTGCTCTTTTTTTTTTTGGTCTCATCTTTTCACTTGTACTTGTGATGCATATGTACAATACAACATAACCTTTTTTGTGCTTGTGCGATACCAAATTTTCTCTTGGCATCATTGTTATATATGCACACACACACTTGCACAATTCTTGTACTTTATAAGTATCACCTTTCACTTGAAACTCCTATGCCCTGCAGATGCTCCAAGTACTGCAGCCTTTGAGGGTATGCTGTCTACTCCACCAGCACCAGCTAAAATGTTTCCAGTTTCATCCACTAATGACACAGGTATGAGTACTCGTGTTAATGTTTATTGTGTCATGGTCCTACCTGACATCGTGTCTTCACTCTTCAGTTACCCAGGCCGCAACCCAAAGAGAGGAAGCTGAAATCACCAAGGCGCCAGCGGCTGCCTCGAATCTTGTTGCCGGGCTTCGTGTCCCACGCCAGCGTCGTCCCAACCCACAATACATTGGCCCAGAGTGGATTGCGTGAGTGCCAGGTGCCTCTGGCGGCAAGCCGGCAACAGCTCTGAGCTCTGTATAAGAGGCGTCTGTGTTTGGCTTGGCGAGGAACTGGACTTACGAACCTACTGCATGACGGTGGTGGCAGTGGCAGCGAGTTGAACTTGATCTAACGCAATTTGTAAACTATTAGCACTATTGCATAGTCTATTCAGAGAAAAGTGTCCATGTGCATGTCGACCCCTGCAGTCCCCTAAAATAGCCTAATGTTGTACTGATTTTTTTGTGGGATGTCTGTATCTTGACCTTCGATTATAAGTTAATGCTGTCCTATATGGTCTGGTTCTGGATTAAACACTAAGGCTCTGATTATATGTTAATTTTGGAGACAACCATTAACTTTGCTCCTCCAAAATAAACAATTGAAGACTCATCTCCATATACAGTAAGGAACAACTGAAGACTACCCTGATTTATACACCACAATCACAATGTCTGCCTATGGAACAGACGAGAACTGATCCGATCGAGTAATATACCATCGTATACAAAGACAACGAGTAATATACCATCATATACAAAAACAACTGATTAGGCGTACAACACTCACGGTCCCGGTGCGCCATCCTGAAGAGGAGGAGGATGCGCAGCTGTTGCTGCCTCTTTTTTTGCGAGAGAATCACGAATCTTTTTTCGTATGTACTCGGTGGAAGCCAGACACAGCGCCTGTCTTCCTTCCGGATCACATAGCTGGTGATAGTATAGCTTTTTCTCGCTGAATTTCTTCTTCTTGAAGTCGTGGCAGACTAGGCAACGCACCTGGTTACCCTGCCTCTCACCAAATGGACCTACAGGTACCGCTCCATCTTGTATCTCCATATCCCTGCATGCATGTGATAGATATAGCTATCATATAGTTCAACTAAACAGAATTTTATTATCTGTGCTGATCAATTGGGACTACATCTTACCCGAATGCAGGGAAGTAGATCTTTAGGTAGTCGTTAACACACTGGCGAGTTTTGTTCTTGTCACTGAAACGACATTTTCTATATGAAAAGCAAACCATTAGATCACCTGTAAGCTAGCTTGTAAATCAGTTATGCATTCAAAGTGTAAATCAATTATGCATTCAAAGTGTAATTAGTTTCAGTACAGACCTTGGCAGCGCCTCTCTGTGAACCATTGCATGTATTTCAACCAACAATTTGTCCACAAACTCAATGCCGGAGCTGAAACCATCAGGGTAGATCACACAAATATGATTGAGGTAGTATGCATGAGCCCGATTAGCATTACCCATTCCCCTTAAATCAAATAATGCCTGGCCTCGGAGCAGCATTACGAGATCAGGGTGTGCTCTGGTGATATCTAGAGGATGTGCATCATTGCTCACGGCAGTTGCAGCAGCTCTTCCTTCTCCCACCATCTGAGTCAATATGTCGAGCGCACGGTTCCATTCCCCTTGGCGAAGGCAGGCTTGTAAGTCATTTGGACCAAGCTGATTCCCACCCTGCTCAACCTGCACTTCATCTCTGCAGCAACCAAACCAGAATCTATCAAGTAACTTTATTCACTGGCCTCTCACGCTGCTTTATTGGAAAAATAAAGTTTAAAACACTCCATCTTAAACAATGAAAAAGAAGAACGCTCACGCTGCAGCAATAGGCCCGGCTCCCAGAAATTCTTGCAAAGAAGGTGGCTCCTCACGTACTGATAACAACCTGTACATGGAGTTTATACTCAATTTCACGGATCATATGTACGCTTGCTTATAACATGCATGTAAGCCTAAATGCAACTTACGCCTCCAAGTTGTCAAGCTCCTCGTTTTCACCATCATAAGCCTCAATGCGTTTTTCAATAGGGAATACGGTCCTACAATAAAAGTAGATGCGTGCATATATTCAGAACGTTTGTGACATAAGATGCAGTTAATTTGCTACATTGAACCTTAAACACAAGATGTGGAATTTACTTTTTCCATGGCAGTATAAACTTGTTTAAAATTTGAAGTCTCATACTCCACCGGCCTCAAAACCAAATAACTGAACTCCATAATTATTCCAGCAGCAAAGTATTCCATCTTCCAGTTCCATAAAAAGCATAGTTTCAAATATTTCCGATTCTATGCATATTCTTCCAGTTCCATAAAATCCATGGTTTCAAAGAATTCCGATTACTCTTGGACGACATCCATACCCTATCTCACCGGTCCCATAACCCTAGCACATTCAGCCAGCATACTATATATCCAATAATCCAATAATAAATCCAAATTCCTCCAACAAGAGCACGTATCCATGACAGCCGATCAATTCGTCCTTGATGTCAATTTCAACGAACCCTTGATTTCAATTTCAACGAACCCAATTCAATCTCACGCCAAACAAACACGAATCGAGCGATTAGTAGGGAGAAAGGTAGAAGCAAACTCTGTGTTTGCCGCCTGATGAGGATGGCGGCCAGGGTCGTCTCCGCCTCCACCTCCGCGTCCGACTCCTCCGCCCGCAGCTCCAACTCCGCTTCCGCTGCGCCTCATGGAAGGAAAGGCACCCATACCTCAATCCATGAACAAAGATTGATGACCAGCACAAAAATTTTGGTAGAGGAGAAATAGAAATGCGTACAGCGCGTCGCTTGTCGTCCCCTGAGCGGGATCGCGACGAAGGGAAGCACCTCCACCTCCGCCTCTCCCTCGGTCTCCACCCCCGCCTCCGTCACCGCCCCCGCTCCTTCTGATGGTCGCGCCTATCCTCGTCTGAGCGGCCTCGCGATTGCCGGAATCGTCTCCGCCTCCGCCTCCCCCTCCCCCTCCGTCTCCACCCCCGCCCCCGCTCGTGCTGATTGAAGACATCGGGCGTGCGCCGACTACGCTCACAGCGAAGGAGAGATGGAGGGATGCGGAGGGCGGGAGGGGAATCCTTTCTCCGATTCGCTTGTTGCGGTTTGGGAGCGGAGAACGAATCGAGAGGGAGAGGGAGGGAGGGAGCAGAGTTTGTTTGCCCAAACGGTCTGATAGCAGAGGAACCTGACGAACCGACTCACGTTGAGGCGCAGCTACGATGCGGCCCGGCCCATTTCCTGATCCCTATAGCCCCCTGGGCGCGGAGGCCTGCTCCGTGTGCTTTGACTACGGATAGGTTCTTCCAAATTTCCAATCAATCACACAAAGCCACAAAATAGCAGAAGAAAAAGAGATGAGCAAACCAAAGTGCGATCTTTTTTTTTACCTCCATTCATACATTAAATTGTAAATTTGGTCCATAATACTAAATAATTCATTGACATTTTGATTAGAGTCTACAGTCTAGTCAAAGTTTAGCAACTTTTACTAGATATTACATTTATTTCAAAGAATAAAATTATCATTGCAAATTTAACTTGAAAAAAAAACTTTATAATCCCATGCATTTGTTGTATGTAATAATTCTACCTCAATAGAAAAGGCGGTCGTATTTAGTATTGAGAAGACAATTTTTTTTATTTAACTTTCACTAGTACATTATTGGCTCGTTTATTGAAAGTTCACTCAACAATAGGATATGGTCAATAAAATTTTGGCAGCAGTTCAAATAAGAAGAAGATTAGCCTTATACCCTATACAATAATTCATAATTGTATGTAACGGTGAGTTATTTTTAGTTTTTTTAATCACAATATGCTTACACACTTCGTCCTATATAATGCATACCCACACCTTATATGAGCATATCCGAAAGATTTAGCTAGTAAATATCGAGATTTACAAAGTCAACAAAGATGTGTTGCTGTCAATGTATTGTCTACCACTAAAAGAATAGCCATATTAAATTTTAAAAGACCATTTTAAAAATGAATTCAGAAAAATACCAATACAAGTGTCAACCCGTGGACTTAAACTTAATAAATGAATATATGTTTCGTAACAAATGGAAACGAGCAAGCTGTTTGTTTGTCCAGAAACACGAGGCGCGTGCTCGGCCACCCGGTTTCAAAGCCCGGTGCCCACGTATTTCCACTCAAGGAGTGGGAATGGGGAGAAAAACTACTCTTTCGAAAAAAAAATGTTTCGTAACAAAAAATCTAACTAGCTAAGCAATGCTTCGTTTACAATACAAAAGAGTTTCTTGAAAACAAATTAACCAGCACTGGGGAGTAACCGATGCATGTTTGGATACCTTTTTCATTACAAGAATACTCTGGCACACATCATATTAGTGTCAGCTCGTATGAGCATAGCTTTTACAATGATTTGTGTGAACAAAATACAAGTTGTTTAGGATTTACTCGCCAACCAAATTTTAACTTTCATCGTCAATCCAATCAACTTTTTAACTTCCACCACCAATTCATATACAAGTTACGTAGTAAGATAGGCTGATCTTGATATTTTTGCACAACATGCCTTGACACGGAGAAGGTTGACACGTTGGTCAGGTGAAAATCAAGCCATGCACACGAGCGAGATCTCAGTTCTCTTCCAACCAAGGCCGTCGAGGCGTACTAGCCACCCAGGTGTTGCTGTGCCATCCATGTTGTGGCGGGGACTAAGGAGAAAGAGCATCGATAGGTCGTAGACTTAGATCATCCAAAGTCTAAATGGATTCTAGTCGCAAAAAAAGTCTAAATGGATTCAACTCGCTTTAGGTTTAATTAGATGGACATTGTTTGGATGCGGATATCTATCGCTACGAGAAATAAACACATCGGACTGATTTGGATACAAAGACGTCAATGTCCAAAATTTTGATGGACATCTCCCTCTCCCTCCCCTCACTTCCCCTCCCAAAGTTCCTTTGCGTCTCCTTGGCGGGCATCGCTACCATATACACCCGTTGCCACTCTAGCTTGCTTAGCCCTCGTCGTCGCTGCTTCTAGCCACATACTAATGATGTAACTAACTTGCTCCTTCGCCTATGCTACCACTATTGTCGGAGACAAGAGCGCGCCTATGTTTGCTCAACGTGGAGGCCAAGTATGAGGGGCGCCCTCATGGCAGACCTAGCATTGTGCCTAGGTATTCATGGGCATACCCAATATTTTTAGAGAAAAAATAGTAGTTAGTAGGTATATACACATGTATGGTTAGGGAGTAAAAGAGTCATTTCGTGTACAAGTTAGCACCGGTAGACCATCAAACTAACTGAAGGGCAAGAAACTAAACAAAAAAATTTTAAGGCTAAATAGGCAAGTTCAAAAGAAAAAGGGCAAAAAAACTAAGCACAAAATTCTTTTGGGCCGAGAAACTAATCTTTTCCTTAAAATAATTTGTCCTAGATAAAGTTTGGCATTTTTTTAATAATCTATCAAGTTTGGCGTTAAGAGAGAAAGTATAAATAACAGTGATAAATCTTGTTTTTGATATTATAACAGTGATAAATCTTACTACAGAATATTCCTCCTTGAACTTTTATTTTTTATAATATATTCCCCTTTTTTTCAATTCCCCTTGACCTTGGCACAGGGCGAATAAAAAATAGTGATCCATTGCTTACTAACCAGACGGCTCCGGCCTGGCCCAAGATCCAGCGATCCGTTACACACGCGTGGGAATCCAACGGAGTAGCCCAGTTCTCCGTGTCCACCGGCCGCCGCACTGCCTGGCTCTGCCCTGTTGGTGGCCGGAGATGGATGGGGAAGAGGAGAACATCGGGCCGTTCCGCCAGACCAGCGCGCGCACGCGCCGCATGGCGTCCACGCCAAATTTGGTCCGCGCTCGCCAGCTCTGACAACCGCGCTCAGGTAACATGGGGATTGGACTGAGACTGACTGCTCCTGCTTTCCCCTTCTTCCTCCTACTCCAAGCTGTTTTTCCCATACAGTTCATCAATGAAGACGTCAATTCCCTTTCCTTTCCGAGTATTAACTGTGCTGAAGTTAGAATTGCAGCTCTCGAGACATTTTGTCTGCTCAAGCGTTGAGGTCAATGTACTCTCCAATTTTATCTAACCAGTATAACATAACCATTTCAAGTATTGGCCTTATTATTTTTTTTCTAGAAGAAGGATTGGGCTCATTGACAAGTAGTTTTGGTAATACTAACTATATGCTCTAGAAAATATTTTAGGAAAATATTTCCATCCTGGGTTTGCACTGCTCGGTTTGTGGTAGTTCTGCAAACTACACATGTGTGAGGTGTCAGGTCAGGTGTGGAACAAGGTTCTGTTCTTACCACGCTGCCTGAAATTTGTGGCTTGATCAACTGGATGTACAAGCTGCATTTGTTGTGTCCATTGTCCACTCCCTAATGATTGCTAATCTATAGTTTGATCAGTAGGATATGATTGTTGTGTATGTTTTATACTTTGTAGGATGGAGTAGCTTAGTGGCAGGAAACTGTTTTTCTTAGGTATGTACTGCAGTCTGCAGTTGAAATTGCTAGGTTAGATCTCTTGTAGGCTAGCCATTTTTTCGTCAGAAATGTTATGTGAGTAGCTGCATTTACACTGTGGTAGGTTTCACTTTCTTCTGCACCATGTAATGCTTTGCTATTAATTTTGGAAAGCAAAACTTTTACTACAAGTAGGTTTCTGTTTCAGTTTACATAACAATTGAAATTCCTCTATATGAGGCAAGGAAGTCTCATCATACACATTATACTATGAAGAATCAGGATAAACCTTATGTCTCTGTTCACTGTTATTATTTGTTTCGAAAGTTCAATGATTGGCAGTGCATCTAATAACAAGAGAATATTTGGTATTCTCTGGCAACAAGTATGTCCAGTAACTCAGTTGTCAGCACCAAATGATGTGGCACCTGTTACTGCTGTAGAACGAGAATAATCCTTCTTTATCTTGTTCAGTGTCACAACCACATCACTCATCGTCACCCTTTCGTCAGGTATGTCACGCAAGCATAGTAAACCCAGTTCAAACATTGACTCAAGGAAGTTATTCATGCAACTAATTGAAGGGTCTTGAAGTAAACATTCATCCATGTCAATGTTTTACCACCGATAGCCTGCCACGGGGGTACCCGGGACAGTTGTTCGGGCTTCGGCGAATAGTGGAACTCGGCGGTTACGCAAAGAGACTCACGATTTATACTGGTTCAGGCCCTCGACTTGGTCGAGTAATAACCTTACGTCCAGTCGGCGTTAGCCTATTTGCGTCGTGTTGCTTTGAGTATTGAGTATGCGTTGTTTACAGGTGATACCCTCAGCAACCCTTTATAGTCCAGATGTTGCAGAGGGTTGTTTGAATACTACTCGGATACAAGGTTAGAGTCCTAAGCTATGCTTTAGATGCCTTTCCTTGTATAGTCCGAGTTGTAGATTTGATTCTGCACGTTGCTTTTGTTCCATGTCATCTTGATGATTGGGCCGTGAGCCTTATTACTAAGGCCCCACTTTCTTGTAGTACGGTCTATAGGGGGCCCATAGGGTTTCCCATCGACAAGCCCCCGAGCATTTCATAATTGAGCTTCAAGGGCCGGGTTGTTGTAGACTTGATCCGGGTTTTTCTTGAAGTGAAATCTTGAGATGTTCTTCTTTGTTTCTTCTTGTGGCTGATGTGCACTTTTTCGCGAAAAGTGCACTCAGTGAGTGTAGCCCCCGAGCTTCTTGCTATTTGGCACAAAAAGCCAGAAGGTCTTCTTGTCTTGACGTCCTCCGGGTTCTTTTGTGGTCGTGGAGAGTGTGAGTGTAGCCCCCGAGCCTTTTGTTTTTTGGTACAAAAGGCTGGAGGGTCAAAAAATTAAAAATATGTTTCTTTGTGGTGGGTACTTGCAGCCCCCGAGCCTTTTCCGGGTTCTTTTCTTTTGTAAAGAAGCCGGTTAAAGGATCTTGAAGTGTGTCTTCTGTGTTTTGTCTGTATTGGTCACGAGTAGGTTCTGTACATCCACGGGTGGAAATTTTCTTATGCTTGCATGTCT